TTTTATGCAATAACCAGGCCAGGAAAATTTCGAAATTTGACTTTTTTCAGTTTTTGAGCTCTAAAATCTCAAAACTGGTGCAAAATTTTAATAGATAATCAATTGTTAATATGTGTAGAACCTTTACTGGAATATATATCCTGACTTTCATTAAAAAATATTGATTTGTAGTCACCAATTCTGAGAAAATTAGAAAACACAGTTCGTGATTAAGCTTGATGACCTTGACCTTTTGATCTGCAAATTTTACTTTTTTAGGCCTCAGTAGGTCGTTTGTGATTGAATATACCTAAATTTAAATCCAGAAAATCGATTTGAAAAATCAAAGGTAAAAAAGAAGGTCAGATTTGAAATCCTGAGAATTTGTAGATGTTTTTTAAAAAAAAAGTTTGGTCAATTTAGATCAAGTTGAAATTTGAACTTGAAAAATTTTGAAATTTGAGCTTTTTCAGTTTTTGAGCTCCAATATCTCAAAACTGATGCAAAATTTTAATACATAATCAATGGCTAATATGTGTAGAACCTTTACAGAAATATATATCCGGACTTTCATTAAAAAATATTGATTTGTAGTCACCAATTTTGAGAAACTTAGAAAACACAGTTTGAAATTCAAAACTCAGAAATGTGGATGATACTGTTGCTATAAATACATCTCCTAAGTGTAAATTGGAGGTATGGAAATTGTTTGGGCACCCAACGTTCATGAGGAATGGTGTTAAGGAGACTGAGGCCAAGAAAGTGTGCAGCAAGATTTGTAAATTTTTCATGACCAGGGCGCTTTTGACGGTGAATATGGTATGTTATGTTATCTCTCAAGGTGCACCCGCATGTTGGTCGTTTGACCAGAGTAAGTCATGAGAAATTTAGTGAGTAACTAGTGTTACTTATGTATCATCAGTGCAGATGAGATCAATCAAATCATTGAAAATGAAATAAGAAGATATTCTTCATCATCCTCAATACAATTTTGTGATTAAAAAAATATTTAATTCACAATACAGAAGCGGTCATGATCACCTAGAGATCCCATCATTTTTGGGAGAGGATGAAAATCTATAGTGATACCGGACGTATGAATTTAAAAATAAAAAGCCAGACTCATTATTACTGTATGTTATTTTCCCACCACCAAATGAAAATCATAGGGACAGAGAAGCTGTCTGTCTATCTTTGTTCAAATTCAGTGGGATAATTAAACAGACTTATTCTGTTTTTAAGTGGTTGATATTTTCGATGGCACCCTGTGTAAGTCCTTCTTAAGTAAAGCATATTATTTCATTGTTTCAACTTTCAAACCATTTATATTGGCCATTCAATTAATTTTTCATCATGATCTATACTTATGATTTGAGCAATTATAAGCCCACCATAACAAATCATCTGTTTGACATTGAACTTTTCAGAACAACCCTAAACTTTGAGAAGTTGTCTTCAAGAGAAGGGGTCTTTGATTCAAGGGAGGTCAAAGTTGCATATTGCCCTGTTTGCACTTTTGAAAGTAATTATAATGGGTCTATTTAAGTATTGTGGACTGTCAGTGTACTTTATAACAAAAAACTATACTGTAAAGGTATTATGCTACTAGCATAGTTTCAATTTCATAAGTTCTGTACTTCTATTAACTCAGACTAACAGCATATGATAATGTTAACACTAGGATATGATTGTTAGGGACTTGTAGTGTGTCAAATATTGTGACTGAATGCCGCAAAATGCTAGAACCGGTTAGTGAACAAGTGACAATTTGAAAGTTTGACATATGTTTTTTTGTTTTTGAACTCTGTTAGAACTGGAACTGAATTGAAAATATGGATCGGATGTCGAATGATGTTGAACATTTTGATGAGAATAACAACTGGACAACATCACTGAACTTTTTGAGTTATATTTTGTTGCTGCAAATATAGATGGAGTGGAAAATTGTCCTAGCTTTGACCAAAATAGGTCCAAAACGTCATCATAACAGTTTTTATGTGAACCAATAGGATAATTGGTGTTGGAAGCTGATAGCTAGGAGCTTTCCCTGGCACCTCACTTTGGGCAAGTACATTTAAGATAAGTTCTGTAAGACAAGTTTTCAAATAAAAAATTCAAAATTTAACCACTTTAGGATACAAGTTAGCATAATTCTTTTTAGGACTCCAGGAAAATGAAACACGCTAAGTGATTAATTTAATTATTGACTTATGATGTCAGTATGAAGGTGTTGCTTTTGGGACATTCTTTTGTACCTTGATTAGAAACATATATTGAATCCAAAGATGATTATATAATCAACAGTAATTTTGACATTTCTTCAATAGACACAAATTTGTGCATAAGGTTCAGCCATATTAATATTCCACTTATTGTAAATATAAATTATAGAAGATAATTTCATTTATGGAGCCGTTGGGAGTGTGTTCTTGTTCTTAGTTCCTTTCTGGTCTTAACGCTTTATTATTATCGTAAGCGACTTACTTTTTAGGGCTTAGCTTAAGCGGCTGATTTGGGTTGACTTAATTTCAGAACGAGGCAAAGCAGGCGACCTAACATTCGAACTTTTAGTGGTCATTATTAATTCCGTTATTTAGTGAGTATGTTCCATCTTACATTAATTTGCCTCCATCCCTTCCCTTTCCGCCTGCTTACAAGTTTTTGCGAGTGGGTTGGGGTGTTAGGGGTTGTTTTTTGTTTTACTTTTCAGTGGTGCTATTATTGCCACAAAGCTTAAGGGATGCAGAAGTCAAGGGGGGCAACCGCCGAACCAGGGCTTCAGATGGTTGGTCAGAAGGGAACCAAGTTAAGGGATCAACTAACCACAAGTAATGTATGAGGTAAACACAGCTGGGTAGTATGCTGGCGGGATCAATATTTTTAGGTTAGTCATTTTGGTCTACTATGTCCTTAGCAGCACCTGGAACAGAAGGGTCCTCGACGCCAGCTGGTTTAACTTGTGTTTCAGGTAGAAGCACAGTGGGCTATATCTTCAGTTCTTTTTGGAAGGTTGACATCTGCATTTATGTATGCTTCCTAGAACACGACTCCTAACAGGCATTACACATAGGCATACATAAATAAGGGATTTTATGTCTTTGTGATTCCATTTGTCAACTTCATCATTTAGCTTACGTCATCGGTAGGGGCGTGGCTACAACGTTATAATCTGGCAGTGTTAAATCCTCAATACTTGCATTCGATAAACGTTTAAGGATATAATCAAGTCACTTGAGAGATTTGGTGAGTTATTTCTGTTTTATTGAATTTATTATTATAACTTAACATTTTTATACAATTTTATTGTGTTTAGTGACTAAATCAAAGACTAAACATCAAAGACTAAACATCTGACAGTCATGAGCAAGCTGTAAGTATTAATATTCGGTCATTCACTTGTACATTGGTTGGGATTACATCAAATGAAGGATTGGACAAATTTATCGTTAGATGAAGATCCAACTTAAAGTCACATTCCGTGGTGTTCGTGGAGGGGCATTTAAATGGTCACCTGGATCAAGATGAGGATGCCGTCATTCAAACGACTTTTCACTCAAAAAGCTTTGCCGAATGTATTCTTGATGGACATGAGGGTGTGAGCATCGTATGCATTGGTCACATTTTCAATAGATTGAAACCTCCTATTGGCCATTGTAAATATAGAGAAGCATGTCAGAAATTGAATGCTAAACTTTCCTTTATTCAAAAATTTCGTGAAAAAATAGTTGTTTGCCCAAATTACAGATTTACTAATAACAACATAAGGGGAAGATATGATAAAAAAGGAATACATCTTACAGCATATGGCAATTCTTGTTTTGCGACAAATATCAGACGGCCGTTGATCGCAATATGCAATTGTAAGTTTCTATGTATGTTATTATTTCATCTTGCTCATGGCTGTCTCTTTCGAATCCAGCAACTTCTGATTCAACCAACAATAAATTCAGTTTAAGCACATACGATGCTATATATATTTTTTATATGTTTTGTCAAGGCATTGCATGCGGGTGAGTCTGACACTACCTTATTGAATGACGAACCTCAAAATTTACTTAGATGTGAATCTGGGATTCCTCTCACGGACGGGGTTGAAAAGAAATATAAAAAACTTATTCTCTCGGATACCTATTTCAATATTGCAATTGCAATCTAAACCCGACAGCAAAGATAAAAGCTTTAATTTTACATTTTCACATTCAAAAGAGACAACTGTTTCCTTCAAAGACGACAAACCGAAAAATGAACTCCGAAATATACATAAGTGGATGTCCGTGTTCCACACATATATTGTGGTTTACGCGTCTGTGCACAGATCAAATAAAAGAGCTTAAAGGCCTACTATACTTAATTGAGAAAAAATGAAAAAATATCATTGAAATATATTACTCACACACTTGCTCAAATATGAAACAAAGTTTGATTTGCTTTAATATTGAACCAAGGAAAACAATAACTCACTTAGAAAAAAGCATTTGAAGTTCAAGGATCATTAGCTATGCATGCACATACTGAACAAAGTGCATGTTTTTAATTACTTTTGATTTAAAAGATGGCAACACTTCTATAAAAATGAATGTATCATGTAATGCACACAACTTTGCCATCTTTCAATGACATTGATAAAAACTTGATATATGAGGCTTGATAGATCGAAAATATTTTTTGTTGATTAGTTATTGTAAGCTTGGATGTGGTCTGTTTCAGCTGTTGTTGGGGTGAAATGAAAGATAGGGTTCTTATCAATATATTGGACATTCTATAGAATTCAAATAAAAGTCTTTATTTTGCCAAAAAACATTGAAAATAAGCAAAGTTTGCCTTTAACTTCAATGAAGGCTTCCAAGCCACAAAATTGTATGATGAGTCGTTCAGGTACTACAAAAGGTCGCAGGGGTTCAGCTGGGATCACAGATGCGAAAAACTGTATAAAAAAGCTCAAAGATCCAAAGTTCGTTTTCGAGAATCAAATAGTATCACCCAATGATAATAAATCAAAAGGCAAATGTTTTACATTCGCCAACACAGGCAAGTGTTACAAACGAAACTGCCCTTGGTTGCATAGCTGTGCACCACCATCCCTCAAAGCAATGTTTTACTGCATCAGGAATGCAAAATGACTCCAAGTCGAAATCCGAGGGATGCTCAACCAAAGTGCCATTTATCATGTCAGACCACAAACTAACAACCCATGGAATCATGACATTTCCAATGGTTCTAGGCCTGAAAAAGTTGGATTTGAAATTTCAGAATTTGCAACAAAACTTTTATCTTTGGGAGTTAGGCAAGTAGTTATTTGTCAACTCTTTAGCCGTTTTAGACTAAGGTCAACCAGCAAACTAGATGTTAAGACATACAATAAAAATGCCTCAATTGCAAACACTTATTTATATCACATCTGCCAAGTTGAAGATAATATTTCATTCTGGCAACATGATGGATTTAGAAATGCTGAGACTCCAAATATGGACTATTATTGTGATGATTTGGTGCACCTTAGTAACAGTTGAAATAGGAAATTATACAAGAGTATAAGAGGTGCTATATCGTTCCTGAAAAATGAATTCCAATAATTTAAGTCAAGTTTTTGGTCTCAGCACTTTTTATTAAATTGTAAGTTATTCAATGAATAACGCTATTTTATGATACGACATTAAGATGTCGCTAAAATGGCTTGAATGTAAGATAACTTACACATTAGAAGCCTGGTATATATCTTGTTTATTTTCTGAGGTCAGCTCAGTTTTTGTATTGGTGGAGACCACTACACACCTAATATTCATTTCCAAGATGGCAGATTACAAAACGTTGAATAAATCACAATTGCTTGAACAACTTGGGCTTCGAAATCTTCAAGTTCCAAAATCGTTAACAAAGAAGCAACTAATTACCATTTATGAGGACAATTGCCTGGAGAAAAGCGATCGAGGCGAAATGGATAGCAGTGATTCGGATGAAGAAGTGGACTTCCCTCGTAGGGAAATAGATCTGGAACCTACGAACAATTCTACTTTGATCGCCATGATCACTGAATTGCAACAAACTGTGCAATCATTGTAAGAGAAAGTGGAGAATGCCTCGACGTCGGGTCTGAGTCAAGTGCCGTCAACATCATCGACTCCTCCAGCCGCAACATCTGATACCCCCGCATGCGGACAATTCGCAACCAAGGGGTGCATATGGAGTCACTGCCAGTGTTAGCCACAGATGCAATATCGCAAGTAACGAGGAAAACTATACTCGAAGGTAAAGACATTAATCTTAACGTACTTCTGATTCCAAATTTCGATTCAAGTACAGCAAGAACTGTCACGGCTGATACTTTACAGATAACACTTAAAAATGAAGATCCACATCTGAAGAGAAATTTGTCTATCTCCGAGTTCATAACCGCATTTGGACGATATAAACGTGTCATCGTGTCCGTATATCCAAACAGACATCAGGAGCTTGATATTTATCAAGAGGAAATCGTTCGTATCAGTAACCTCATTGGGCCTCGATTTTACGAATATCATAAGCAATTCAGTATGATGGCCACCTCTGCTCTCCTGAACCATGGCATAAAGGTCGATTGGTCAAAGCGCGACAGAACCTTACTACAAAATGTCATGATGGGATCTGGTACTTCGCCATGCAGCGCGTGCAATAAAGTACATCCGCAAAACACTGACTGCCCTTCAAAATATTAACATTTATCATTTCATCAGCGCTTGTGTTGCAGGGTTCGTCCTTAATGGGTGAAGGGTGCCTCCTGGTGAATGTGAAATTTGCGACGAAACTTTTGATTGGAGATCCCAAAAACCCTACACCTAAGAAGTTATGGAGGAGGTCAAATATACAACAGATGAACTTGTAGTACAATTATTTACTAGCACCAGCTTAAGTCATGAAGTTCAGAGAGCGATGGGGAAGCATGAGAAGCTCGTAGAGCGGAGTGTACCCTCCAAATTTCTATCTATAACGTGATGCATTATCAATTGCAAGCTAAAGCATATCTCAAAAATATAAATATGCAATGGCCCCTTTCATGACATTTCCAATGGTTCTAGTCCTGAAAAAGTTGGATTTGAAATTTCAGAATTTGCAACAAAACTTTTTTTTGGGAGTTAGGCAAGTAGTTTTTTGTCAACTCTTTAGCCGTTTTAGACTAAGGGCAACCAGCAAACTAGATGTTAAGACATACAATGAAAATGTCTCAATTGCAAACACTTATTTATATATCTGCCAAGTTGAAGATATTTCATTCTGGCAACATGATGGATTTAGAAGTGCTGAGACTCCAAATATGGACTATTATTGCGATGATTTGGTGCACCTTAGTAACAGTTGAAATAGGAAATTAAACAAGAGTATAAGAGGTGCTATATTGTTCCTGAAAAATGAATTCCAATAATTTAAGTCAGTTTTGGGTCTCAGCACTTTTTATTAAATCAGTTATTTACTATATGTAGTTTACTTTTTCTATTTGATAAAATAATTTGGACTGACAAGTTATGTAATATTTTGACAGGCTATTGCTATCGATTGCACCATGCCTTGCTGTATAATTTCTTTAGACCCATGGGAGCAACTTATTGGCATGCACATTTGTGCAACAGGGATTGAAGAGCTACTAGTATATTGATTATTTATCATTTAGACTTTGTATGTATTTGTCCATTAATGTTCTGCCCTTTGCATCGATTTACCGGATTGGGTATATTCAGGAACACTACAGTATATGTTCGTCCGAGCAAATACAGAGATTCCTATGCCGTTCTACTGCTGGGTTCAACCACCAAGAGACACCATTCTAAGAGCACGTGGTGTATTCATTGGCAAAGGTAATGTTCCAGTTTTTAGAGCCTGGCCTGCTGAACCTCAGAAGGATAGAATGATCTCAGAAGGATAGAATCATGTCAGAAGCTTGACATTGGATAAGATTTGACCATCAAGAAGTATACTATGACGATGGAAAGAATACAAACCACCCTATGAGTGTCAATATTCGTTTCAACATCTTTACGCACAATGTCTCAGTACAGAGATGTCTTTTCGCTTTCGATCCAACTGTTCAAGTTAGTGGTGCGAAAGTCGGGGTGATGGTCATTTTTACACTGGAATCGCCACTTGGCTATAGGATAGCTGCCACCATTATGTTTGTTGAAGTAACAAACAATCCAGTAGAGTGTAGGAATCTGGTAGAAGAAGAAATGCGGAAAAATATCACTCAAGAATTCAAACTCAGTTGGCCCATGTTGCCCCAGTACCACCTGCTCCTGCCATCCAGTACAAGTGTGTACTCACTAAAAACAGAGAACATTATGATATACTGAGCAAATTTAGGGATAATTTATTGCTCTCTGAAGCACTACCAGAGGAGGAGTCCAAATGCATCAGAAATGTTAATAGATCGGCTGATAAAGATGCAGAGCAGTGCTTGCAGAGATTTACAAACTCTATCATTTAAATCTAACGGGTGCTGCCTCGCTCTTTATCAGATGCCCTTTTCAATCGTTTCTATCTATTTTTTTTAGTTCACAAGCAACAATCATGAATTCAAAGCAGAGAAATGATGCAGCTTCAAACACACACTCCTCATCTACTGTTACCAGGCCCCCAGTTTTCCCTTGGAATGAGGACACAGAGATAACATCCACTCTTAATGATTTCCCCTTTCCCAAGGAAAACATGTGGATTTTGGATGTCTTGTTCCTTAGGACAGGGTACATCATCAACAGGTTGTTTATTCATGCTCAAGCCCAATGGAGGAAAAATGGTCTGCACAAGAAGGGGGTAAAAGCTTGTAAGAAACATCGGAGCCAGGAAGGGGATCATTGGCTGATGGCAAGTGGGCCACGCTGCAATTACGAACAACTGCTAGACAACTCAATGAGCATAACTTTTGAATGGCCAAAGGGGGCTAACTGTACAGCATTCAACAGAAACTATTGGTTTCGTTGTGAGAATTCCTGTCCATCAAAGATGGAAGGTCGAGATTCCAAAGTGGTTTTCACCTTCGAAGACATCTCAGGTCAGGTATTCGGTCGGGTTTCGTTTGATGTATGGGTTACAACAACTCCTGTCAAAGACCTAGAAATAGATGAGCATGAACTTAAGTATACGCCAAATCCAAAGTCAGAAGCAAAACAAACAGTTTCGGAAGTTAGTCACCCAGATCCTATTGAGTCAGAGGTTTTCGTGATTCATGTGCGGGGAAAGAAGAATTTCCAATTATTGCAAAAGATCAGGGATGCCATGGAGACAGCTGATGAATTGAAGCTGAAGCAGAAGAAAAGACGAAAGAAAAAAATACAACTAAACACAATGCTCCTGCTACAATAACACATCCACCAGAGATGTCAGATGTGGATGAAGTTGCCATCCCAACTCAAGCATCTGACATATCTGTGGTGTCAGATCATTATTGACCCTTGGAAAATAGCAAGCACTAATACTAATACATAAAAATATGTAAAAGAAACCAATAAACAGTATTATATCATTCAACTACATTATTTGCATTAAATGTCTATGGTTATGCAACTTTAGATAATGATATCTCCAAAAATGGTATTATTCATAGGGAGACAATATCAATAACAAACTGTATTAAATTTTAAAAAAATCATCTCTCACCTAAATATATTTTAAGCAGTAAAGGAACATTCTACATGTATTTAAGTTAACAACTTAAGCAAGTGTAAAGTAATTACTAGAATATTGACTAAGAAAGCATAAATCGGGTGTCCCCAAAAAATAAATCGCTTTTTGATAAGTGTTTTCTCAGCAATTGATTAACCAAATTCACTGAAAACATGTACAAAGTAGCTCAGGAGTATTGTTAGCAAGTTACAAAAATAAGAAAAAGATTTAAGATAGCATGTCAAAAGATCCCATACTGGAGCTACAGAATAAGAACTTCATAGCGTTTGTTCCAAAAATGGGAAGCAATTTGTAATTTCAATAGATAAACCAAAGTCTGATAACTTACTTGAGTCACTTTAGCGTATATTCATCGAGTACTATGAATATCTTAAAGGTCGGTTACATATTATTTAGGTAGTGTTAAATTAAAGACAGTATGTGAAAATAGCCAATATCAAAGTATAAATAAATTCAAACAAATTAATTAGAACACAGACAAGCTATTCTGAATAATTGATAGATACCATCACCTGATACCTTTGAAAGTCTCATCCAAGAGCTCTGGTATTGGATGTTTTGACATGCTATTTTGAATTTCTTAGTACTCGGATAACACATATTTTATATTTTTACAACTTGCTAATGATACTCCTTGGCTAGGCTATTTTGTATTTTTCAGTGAGTTTGACTTTGAGAAAATACTTGCCAAAAAGCTAATTATTTTTGAGACACCCGATATACATGTAGTAGCAGATAGAACTAAAATGGATTTAAGATGGGGAAATGTAGAGTAGGAAAAGTTAAATAATTAGCGAAATAATAGTTGTATCTAAGTGGCTACAAAGATTGTGGCAATGAATGAATTTCTGCCTATAATTACAGTATGGACCCAATGTGGAATCTCCAATGTCTTGATCGACCTGAGGTAGATGTATTTCTTTCATTGCCATTGCCATCTGACGAGACAATTCTCCCCTCTAGCCGTAGTGAAATGAAGTTGCTGTTAGAAGCTTACCCTGATCATAGGAGAAAAAAAATTCATAGAAGAAGAACTTCGCTAAAGCAAAGAATATATAGGGTTAAAATAAGGGACAGTCTAATGCAGGAAAAATGAAAAAACAGGCAGTTGGAGGAGGCGATCTGCCTCCTGAAAGCAGACATTTGGTCTGCAAGAAGGGAGGAGATCCTCCGAAATGCTGTTGAAAGTTTAATTTTAAAGCAGTGTTAAGCTTAACATTGAATATGTGAAAATTAACATTTATTATTTCATCAGCGCTTGTGTTGCAGGGTACCTCCTCGTGCATGTGAAATTTGCGATGAAACTTTTGATTGGAGATCCCAAAAATCCCTACACCTAAGAAAACATTTTTCTGACAATTGAAGTGGCATGTGCAAAAAATGTAACGAAGTATTCCACTCTCTCCGATATTTCCGGGAGCATCAACTCATTTACTCATGTTACTAGCCCCTTCGAAGAAGTAATGGAGGAGGTCCATACGACAGATGAACTTGTACATGTAGTACAATCATTTACTCATGTTACTAGCCCCAGCTTAAGTAATGAAGTTGAGAGAGCCATGGAGAAGCATGAGAAGCTCGTAGAGGGGGGTGTACCCTCCAAATTTGTATTTAACATGTCATCAAATACAATCGAATGGGAAATGCAAGTGCTTAATTAGTAAATTGCACTAAATGATGCTCATTGCTTGCTATGCAGAGTTCCCATAATTTGGGAGTCCAGGTTTTACAAAACATTGACAAAATAAAAGTGATGTTTATTACTTGTGATGGAGTTAGCCCAAAACATGGTTAACCAGGAATGCCTGAATATGTTCACTACACCAACAATATATTTGTGCAGCCTGGAGGACAACCTTGTCATATATGATTAATTTTCTGTGTCCTCAAAATTACTGCCAACATCCCAAAGAAGGAGGTTTCTGAACAAGAAAAAGTGGCAAAACCAGATCCTTTTAAGCAAGATCACCTGGAATGATAAAAAAATGTATCATGACTTGCTGATGAACCGTAGGTGAATAATTTGATATACTGTATTGGCAACGAAGCTGATAATAAATAACTAAGCTTCAATTTTGTCATCAATCATGATCAATAAAAAAATATTAGACAGTGAAATCAAAATTGAAAGATCATTTTGTTATCTGCAAGAATGTGATATTATGAACAAGCACAGTAATGGTAAGGCTGTTGATAATTACAGTGTATATAGTCACCATAACCTTACCAAGAGTACTGTGAATTTGACTCTGAACTTCAAGATATGACAAGGCATGAGCAATGCATCCGAGCCTTGTGAACCTGCTGGGTTCAACCACCAAGAGACACCATTCTAAGAGCACGTGGTGTATTCATTGGCAAAGGTAATGTTCCTGTTTTTAGAGCCTGGCCTGCTGTACCTCAGAAGGATAGAATGATCTCAGAAGGATAGAATGATGTCAGAAGCTTGACATTGGATAAGATTTGACCATCAAGAAGTATACTATGACGATGGAAAGAATACAAACCACCCTATGAGTGTCGATATTCCTTTCAACATCTTTACGCACAATGTCTCAGTACAGAGATGTCTCTTCGCTTTCGATCCAACTGTTCAAGCTAGTGGTGCGAAAGTCGGGGTGATGGTCATTTTAACACTAAAATCGTCACTTGGCTATAGGATAGCCGCCACCATTATGTTTGTTGAAGTAACAAACAATCCAGTAGAGTGTAGGAATCTGGTAGAAGAAGAAATGCGGAAAAATATCACTCAAGAATTCAAACTCAGTTAGCCCATGTTGCCCCAGCACCACCTGCTCCAGCCACCCAGTACAAGTGTGTACTCACTCAAAACAGAGAACATTATGATATACTGAGCAAATTTAGGGATACTTTATTGCTCTCTGGAGCACTACCAGAGGAGGAGTCCAAATGCATCAGAAATGTTAATTGATCGGCTGATAAAGATGCAGAGCAGTGCTTGCAGAGATTTACAAACTCTATCATTTAAATCTAACGGGTGCTGCCTCGCTCTTTATCAGATGCCCTTTTCAATAGTTTCTATCTATTTTTTTTTAGTTCACAAGCAACAATCATGAATTCAAAGCAGAGAAATGATGCAGCTTCAAACACACACTCCTCATCTACTGTTACCAGGGCCCCAGTTTTCCGTTGGAATGAGGACACAGAGAGAACATCCACTCTTAATGATTTCCCCTTTCCCAAGGAAAACATGTGGATTTTGCTGGTCCAGACAATTTCCGGGTGCAGATGGTCAAACAAAGGGGAACTACAACATGTATACGATCGGTTTCAACAGGTAGGATGTATCTACAACCTGGAACGATGACGGATGTTGTACATCATCAACAGGTTGTTTATTCATGCTCAAGCCCAACGAAGGAAAAATGGTCTGCACAAGAAGGGGGTAAAAGCTTGCAAGAAACATCGGAGCCAGGAAGGGGATCATTGGCTGATGGCAAGTGGGCCACGCTGCGATTACGAACAACTGCAAGACAACTCAATGAGCGTAACTCTTGACTGCTAGACAACTCAATGAGCGTAACTCTTGAATGGCCAAAGGGGGCTAACTGTACAGCATTTAACAGAAACTATTGGTTCCGTTGTGAGAATTCCTGTCCATCAAACATAGGAAGGTCGAGATTCCAAAGTGGTTTTCACCTTGGAAGACATCTCAGGTCAGGTAATCGGTCTGGTTTCGTTTGATGTATGGGTTACAACAACTCCTGTCAAAGACCTAGAAATAGATGAGCATAAACTTAAGTATACGCCAAATCCAAAGTTAGAAGTAAAACAAACAGTTTCGGAAGTTAGTCACCTAGATCCTATTGAGTCAGAGGTTTTCGTGATTCATGTGTGGGTAAGAAGAATTTCCAATTATTGCAAAAGATCAGGGATGCCATGGAGACAGCTGATGAATTGAAGCTGAAGCAGAAGAAAAGACGAAAGAAAAAAATACAACTAAACACAATGCTCCTGCTACAATAACACATCCACCAGAGATGTCAGATGTGGATGAAGTCGCCGTCCAAACTCAAGCATCTGACATATCTGTGGTGTAAGATCATTATTGACCCTTGGAAAATAGCAAGCACTAATACTAATACATAAAATATGTAAAAGAAACCAATAAACAGTATCATATCACAGTCAACTACATTATTTGCATTAAAAGTCTATGGTTATGAAACTTTAGATAATGATATCTCCAAAAATGGTATTATTCATGGGGAGACAATATCAATAACAAACTGTATTAAATTTTAAAAAAATCATCTCTCACCTAAATATATTTTAAGCAGTAAAGGAACATTCTACAGGAATTTAAGTTAACAACTTTAGCAAGTGTAAAGTAATTACTAGAATATTGACTAAGAAAGCATAAATCGGGTGTCCCCAAAAAATAAATCGCTTTTTGATAAGTGTTTTCTCAGCAATTGATTAACCAAATTCACTGAAAACATGTACAAAGTAGCTCAGGAGTATTGTTAGCAAGTTACAAAAATAAGAAAAAGATTTAAGATAGCATGTCAAAAGATCCCATACTGGAGCTACGGAATAAGAACTTCATAGCGTTTGTTCCAAAAATGGGAAGCAATTTGTAATTTCAATAGATAAGCCAAAGTCTGATAACTTACTTGAGTCACTTTAGCGTATATTCATTGAGTACTATAAATATCTTAAAGGTCGGTTACATATTATTTAGGTAGTGTTGAATTAAAGACAGTATGTGAAAATAGCCAATATCAAAGTATAAATAAATTCAAACAAATTAATTAGAACACAGACAAGCTATTCTGAATAATTGATAGATACCATCACCTGATACCTTTGAAAGTCTCATCCAAGAGCTCTGGTATTGGACGTTTTGACATGCTATTTTGAATTTCTTAGTACTCG